GCCCCCGAGTCCCGGCCTCTCTGGCCGGCGGGCTGCTGCGCGCGAGCCCCGGCCGCCGCTCCGGCTCCCGCGCCGGGCGAGGACGCATCGGGCGCTTCGGGAGGGAGCCTGCCTCAGCGCTCGTATATGGCAAAGTTTCTCGCCGAGCTCCTGGGCTGCACGTTGCCGAGCAAGGGCGCCTCTCCCATGTTTGAGGTAGGTGGAGGGTGTGTCCCCGCAGCCGCCGGCGTCCGTGGTGGCGGGGTGGCGAGCCCCGAGCGGGTCCCTGGGGTCCCCAGGAGTTGACAAGTGGGTGCAGTCTCACTTGCCGGCTTTCCACCTGGAAGTCTGGGGTGGGGCAGGGCGAGGATGGCGAGGAGGAGACCTGAAGCCGGGGAGCCTGAATTCTCGCCTCCTGGACCTCAGTGAATCTGTTTTCTTCTTCCTTGGTTGACGGGCGAGCACGTTTTCTGTCAATCTGGACAGAGTTTTGCGAGTTGCTCTTTACCTAAAATGCCAGGTATGTCTGAAAATGAGCAGTATCCTGCAGTCCCTTTTTGCTGCTTCGTTCCCCCCCCACTTTTAATCCGAAAAAACAAACAAATAAACCCAAACGGTAAAAATCTTTAGATCAGAAGGTTTCTGTCTTTCTGCCTCCTCCTAGTCCCTTCCCCCAACCTCCAGCACACTCCAAACTCCACTGAAGTTAACTCATTTCTTCTGTGAGTGAGCTACATTGGGGATGGGAAGGGTTACAATGGGATTCGTCGAACCCGGCGGACGCATCCGCAATTCTGAAGGCAGGTACATCTGATTGCTCACACCTGCCCGAGGTGGCAGTGATGGGGTACGCATCTCTGCACGCAGTCGTTTACGGGAAGGCTGGCTGGCTTGTCCTACTGAGGAGTGGTGGCAGCAACTGTTTAATGGGAAACCTCTATTGGCTGCTCGGTAGGGACAGCCTCACACGGTGTGCACAGCAACCCCCCTTCCCCTTACCTCTGCAGTGGCAACAGTGTATCCTTTGTCTCTATCTACCCAACAGACTGCCTGACAACTAGGCCTGGACCACAGGGCAGTGACCCCAGCCGTGGCCAGGTTAACCAGCCTTGCGTGTTCTCGCAGGGCACTCCTCACTCCGTCCTCGGGCCTGACAACTCTTTCTGGCAGCCTCAGGGCTATTCCAGGGGCCACCTGGGCCCTCTCCGTCTGCAGTTTCCTGACTGGCCAGGGAGAGCAGAATTTGAGAGCAAATTCTCTCCCCCATTCTCTCCTGGGTGTGAAAGCTTGTCCTTCAGCAAGACAACTCTTCAGGCTGCAAACTCTCAGGCTCTTCCCTGGCTGCTTGTGAGCTCCGCTTTGCAACTGTAGGCGCTCTTACCTTCTGAGGGCCCGTGGTCACATTGCTTTGATTTTAGAGCTCAGATTGCCCAACCCATTATCTCTGCTGTGTGAAAGCAAGGAGATCTCAATAGTAAGTGATGAAGTGCAGCTGGGAAAACGAGAGCAGATTGGGAGAAGCCAGACTGAAATGCCTGGGTGCTTGGGGGCCTGAAATCTAAGAAAATAATGAAAAGCCTGAAAAAGTAAAGTTTTCCAGGCCTGCAGCTAAAATCAGCTGTCTCCTTTGGCCTGTTACATCTCTGCTCATTTCCTTCTCTGTGATGTAAATGTTAGGTAGCATTTGGGGGTCATCCCAGAGAGGTGAGATGCTCGTTTAAAATTTTCTCTCTGGCTTTTTCTTCATTGTATTTGGATTTTTATTTTTATTTATTTTTTAAGAAGATTTTATTTTTAAGTAATTTCTATACCCAACGTGAGGTTTGAACTCACACCCAGAAGATCAAGAGTTGTATGCTCCACCAACAAAGCCAGCCAGGCATCCCCTGGATTTTTGTTTTTAAATTTCAAACCCACACCAAGTCATTTTGTTGTATGTACTGACTTTTGGTGTTCTATTCCTGTCTTGTTTTATCCTCCAGCCAGTAGATGCCCCACCTTGATTTCTTAGAATAATTGGCTCTCAATCATTGCTGGTTGGAGGGTGGCTTAAAAAGTAGTCAGAGACATACTTAGACAATTAAGAAAATGGGTGGCTGTTTTGTCTTTGAAGAGCTCCTGGAAAAGGGAATTCCCTCAGTCCTTGGTAACTCCATTTATCTTGCTTTGTGTTATTTTCTAGCCATCTGGGGGCAGGAGCCACTGTAGTCTCTGCTTTCTCCTTTCTACAGATGATTGATCCAGTGTTGGCTGAATCACCCCACCAGATATCACTTTTAATCAGTGTTGCTGGAAGAGTTAAGAGATATCCCTTCCCTACCTATGGGGGAAAATCTGCCCAAAGAGGTGAATAACTGAGTCAGGAATGTGTTTTGAGATTGCTTTCTTCTCAGGCAACCCATTCTTACTCATAAATGAAGAGGCATTTGTTGCGCTCTCTATATTTGGGAGGGAGAGAAATGTGTAAGAAAGATATTCTTAAACCTTTCTAAATATTCATTTCCCAAAAGTGAAAGTGCTAGGACATGAGAAAATCTAGGCAGCTTTTCATTTCCACCAAATGCTCTAATTCTAACTTTGGAGGCTACCTTTAGTTTCAGGGAGATCAAGAGAAGAGATGGAGATTTTCATCATGAATGGCCTTTGGTTTCATTTTGTTAGGGGGGTGGCCACGAATGTGCTTTCTTCCGACACAGGCCAGTTTGGTTGTGCACAGAGCAGATTCTGCCTGAAAGAATACTGAATCCCGACTGGACCTCTTGCGTGTTTGCAGTTGTCTGACAAGGGAGATCGGGTGACAGGTTGTGGGAGAACACAGGGGCAGAGAGTCACTGTGGTTGGAAAACAGGTCCAGTGCGTACCTTGCTGTGTCATCTTCAGAGACGAAGGACAGATGGTGCACATTTGAAACCCAAGTGTCTTCATGATCATTTTGTTAATCTTCCCTCTACGTTTTCTTAGTATTTCAGTTTACAAACCAAGTCCTTGAGAAACAATTTTAAAATTTCAAGAAAAAATGAAAGGCTAGTAAGTTTACCTCAGTCATGGCAGTGCCCCAAGCACTGGGCTAGATTTTTGGAATAATGTTTGTGCGTCACCAAGGCAGAGCTTCCGCAGGAAGAGTGGGCTTTCTGTATGTTCTGCTGTCTAGAGAAGTAGGACATTCTAAGCATAGAATGGTGGTTTCAGACCTCGCAGGTCCTACTTACATGTGTCCTGTATGCTCAGACGGATGGAGGTCTGGCCCCGACATCCATTCCTGCCCCTGTCAGCTCTGACATATTATGAACCTGCCCCCCACCTCAGCCTCAGCATTGCTTTGCACTGTGCCTTCCTGAGAGTCAGCGATGGGGTCTGGTTTCACAGCAGAAAGAGGCAGGAGAATTATATAGTCAGAGGCGACTACGTTTTCTCCTTCCAGGCCCCCTTCCCTCAGTCTGCAAACCTGCATTTTTAATGCTGCCATCCTTTATCATCTCACCTGGAGGGGCACATTTCAGAAGCCACATCCACTGGGCAGAACACATCTGGCTGTCCAGAAAAGGGGTGTTCAATTCCATGCCCCTGTTTCTGGACGTGGTCTCCTCTAGAATTGTCACACTTCATTTATGTTCTACTTATTTCCACATTCTGTTTTCTGTCTCTACCACTATTGCTGCCTAACTGTGACTATAGCTTTAATTTATACATAATACAATAATGTCATTTATTGTCCACTCTGGTAGGCATTGTTCTAAGGGCATAACATACGCAGTCTCAGCTCTCTTTCCAGTAGGTTCCCGATGTAGGTGTTATCAACCATGCTTCACAGACAAGAAAATCAGGGTTTACAGAGTTTAAGTAATTTGGTTAGGGTCACTTTAGTAATGTGTGCTAGAGTGAGGATACCAAGTTCACCTACCTTCTTCAACTATGGTTACTTGGTATTTGGCGTTTTGTTTTTTTGTTTTCTACCTCAGCTTTATTCCTAGTTATACTCTTTCTCTTTGGAAATAGGAAAGGTAAACACCCGAATTCTTCCATTCTTTCTCCTTCACTGTGTTACCATTGGGATGGCATGAGTACCTTACTCCTGGAATGTTCAATCAAAGGCTGATTGAACTCAGAGGAATTGTTAAGGGAAGGATTCAAGTTCAATCACCATGACCCTTTACAGGGAGCTTCCACTTATGAAGCATTTCCTGCATGTTTTCTGTTTTATTCTCCAAGGACACTATGAGGTTAAGTTGTATTGTCAACCCTGTTTTAGAAGTGAGGAAGCCAGGGCTCAGGGTCATTACCTGAATTGTCCAAGGTTATGTCCATCCCTATGATGGATCCAATCTTGGAGGTAAATCCTGGACTCCGATTCCACAGTGCTTTGCCAGCCAACTGCACTGATTTACCTGATCTTGTCCTGGCCTTTGATTGCTGCCTCATCTACTCTATCTTTGGGACCATTGCCAAATCAATTTTCCTTAATAGCCCAACTCACCACAGTGTCCATTTATATACCCCCAATTCTTTGGTGGTTTGCCACTGCATGCAGATGCAGTAGCGGATGTGGTTCCTCTTGACAGTGTGGTCACTACCTACATTTCTTGTCCAGTCTTTCCTTCCTCTTATTATATTCCTGGTACTCCAGCAACTTTTGTCTATGCCTATTTCTTGATCATGTCCTCTTACTGTTAAGCTATTGGCTCTGCCTGCAGTTTTCTTCCCCTAAATCATCTTTTGAGTTTTCCTCTTCCTGCAAGATTCAGCTCAGATCCCCCCTCCAGACCCAGCCCCTTGGACCCAGCCAGCCCTCTACTTCAGGCCTCTACTTCACTGGATACTATTGGTGTGTTTCTATAGGAGACCTATGGCAGCTTTCTCTTGTAACTTCTTTGTGCTTCAGTTTTTGGTCTTCAGTGGGGATGATAGCAGTGCCGAACGCAGGGTGACGAGGGTTAAATGAGTTAATGCCTGGAAAGTGCTTAGAATAGTGCTCAGGGCATGGTCATTGCTGAGCTCCTTGCCTGTGTGTCTCTGACCTCTTCAGGCTCAAGAACTAAATGTTTTTTCTTTCCACAGCACCCAGCAGAGTATTGTATACATCATTTTGCCTCACATAAGTAACTAATGGATCAGATGGATCTTCCAGCTCTGAAGGTTCATGATTTTCCTTGCTCTTTAACTATTTGTTGTTTTTCTGAAGTTCCAATTTAACCAGCACCCTGTATTTTTATTTGCTA